AGCCGTTTCAGCGTCGAGCAATAATGAAAAATTGTAAATTTATCTCATTGAAACCACTGACGYATAATTTTGCAAATTGAACGGTGCTAAAAACGGTCTTTGTTACTAAAATATTTTTTGCCTGAAAAAAATTTCAACCAACTGGAATTGTCACAGTTTGTCATTTCAGATTTTTTCAGGGATAAAAAATCAGAGTTGGGCAAACTAGAGAGACACCAAATGTTGAATAAATCAATTGGTGTCTCTCGCAATAATCGTCGAAATATTGCTTTAATAATTTTCGCTGAAAACAATTCGAGTTAAAGTCGTGACTAAACTCCCTACTTTATTCTCCCAAGTCTCAAAGAGGATTTGCTAAATTTGATTCCGATTCAAATCCAAATCTTTGACAAAAATCCTCCCAATACTCTGATTTGCAATAATTATTTAATAAATCGCACATTTGTGCCCAAATTGTGACTTTCAGTAGGACAAATTTCAGCAAAATAGTTCGATTAATAACTCTGAAAGAGACAACACCCCCGCGATAACCAACTGAAATATGACTCTTCTTTGAATCGTTTCCGGAAATGTTGGCGTTGTTTCAAAACAGCAATGTCATTTATTGTTAAATTAGAACCAACCCTCCCAATTGTGATCCCCCTTTTGTTCCAGATGATTACAATAGGGTAGTTCTAGAAACGATAGAGGGCGAACACGATTCGGACTACATAAACGCATCTTATGTCGATGTAAGCCCCCAAAAAAACCACTGAAAAACATAAGTACTGAAAAAAAAACAAATTTCAGAGTTTATTGAAGCCTAACGCTTACATTGTAACCCAAGGACCAACTGAAGAAACGGTTACTGATTTCTGGCGAATGGTGTGGCAGGAGAAAGCCTCCTGTATTGTAATGCTGACGAAAACCTTTGATTTTATCAAGGTTATGTGTGTGCAATATTGGCCCGCCTCCAAGGAGTTGGAGGAGACTTATGGAGGGATTAGTATAGGGATTATGCAGGAGGAGGAATTGGCCAATTTTCACATTCGCACGTTTCGATTGACGAAGAAGGAGAAAGAAGTGAGTTTTTTGTGTTTTCTTATTTTTCAGTTTCAGTGTCAGATTTCAGCAAGTTTGTCATGCTTAACCGTTTATTTTCTCTGTTTTTACTTCAAACTAGAATAAATTCCTTAAATTGTCAATATTTTCTCGGTTTGGTTGAAGTTTCGGATTAGCCAAAGTTTTGCATTCATGACGAGGAAATTCGGGGCTTTTCTTTGGTGAAAAGCGAGGGTTTTTCTCGGTCGAGAATAAAATTCGATATTTGCACATTTTATGAGTTGTGGCATTGAATGCGAATTATTTCCGGGGAATTTATATACATGCAAATTGGGGGAAATGTCAATTTGGGAGAGATGGAGTGATTGAATTTTTTGATGACTTGTTTGGGGGTTTTTGTGAGGTTTGAGGAGGAAAAATTGGGACAGAATTTGTGTTTTTTCACAGTTTTCCGATTGTTTAATTATTTTTTTTTCTCAATGTCTAGAACCGTTTCCTTTGTAGTGAAATGCTGAAAAATTTTGAACTTTCAGTCCAAGTAAATATATTTCATAAACTCAATAAATTTCAGTTTGTCATACTTAACCGTTTATTTTCTCTATTTTCACTTCAAACTAGAATAAATTCCTCAAATTCAATTTCAACTCTACTTATTTTCTAAGAAAAACACACAATTCGTACACGACGTTAAATTTGCAACCAATAAATAATGAAGAAACCACAATTCATTTAATTTCAAGTTTTCTCCAAGTAATGAAATTTTTTGGGAAAACTTTAATAAATCTGCAAGACTTAAAAGAGTAAAGTAGAACAGTGGGAAAAGAATTTAGTCAAGACTTGAGCTAATTTTAACTCGAATTTTTATCTTCTCTAGTTTGGCCAACAGTAATTTTGTGATTCCTGAAAAAATCGGAAACGACACTAAGCTGTATCTAATAATTTCAGCTCGGTGAATTTTTTTCAGGCAACCATCTGTTGTTGAATTTTTCCCCACCATTAATAACTCTCACAATTTGCAAAATTACGCGTCATTTACTATTTTCAAAGAGATAAATTCGCAATATTATTGTTCGACGCTGAAACAACTCATTCAGTCCTGAAATTTCTAAATCTTTCAGTACTCAAACCACTTCACAATTCCTTTCATGTCTGTATCAACTTTTTCAGCACGTTTCCGTCATATTTTCCTTAACACTCCATATTTTCCTGATTTCTATGATCTTATTTTTAAAATGATACGTGTGAAATATATTTCAGGACTCAATGAAACACAGGAAATTTATCAATTCCTGAAAATTAATCCCAAAAGAAACGAGTTCAAGTCAAAATTGTTTGAACAAAGTCATTTGACATATTTTCAGCCATTTCATGAATTTCTCTGACGCTAAATTTAATTTTTTCAATAAGCTTCTGTTGAATTTTGCATCATTTATTATTTACAAAGCAAAAATTCACAATATTTCGCTGAATATTTTTCTGAATAATTAAAAACGTTTCCGTTGAACTGAAATATAAGTCTCTCCATGTCCAAATAAACAGCACGTCTGAAATATATTTCAGAAACTCAATGAATTTCAGCAAAATCGTCAAACTCAAACATTGATTTTCTCTATTTTCTCTTCAAACTATTATAAATTTCTTAAATTCAATTCCGACTTTACTTATTTTGAAAGAAAAACAAGCAATTTGCAACCCAGATTCGAACACAAAGTTAAATTTGCAACCACTAAATAATTAAGAAACCGCAACTAGCGACTAAAATATTCTATTTAATTTTAAGTTTTCACCAAGTGGTAAAATATTTTAACAAATCTTTGATAAATTTGCGGGAATTTAGAAAATAAAGTGGGACAGTGGGAATTTTGTCAGACTCAATTTTTTTTCAGTAAATTTCGATTTATTGAAACAATATTTCACTCTAATGTTTTAATCCTGAAAAAAATTTGGAATGACACTAAAAGCCACAATAATTTCAGTTTGATGGAATTTTTTCAAACAAAAAATATTTAAGTAACAAATTTTGTTGATGTTGTCAATTGTCGAATTTTTGCCACCGTTCAATAAACTTGCGCAATTTGCAAAATTTTGTGTCATTTCCTATTTTCAAAAACATAAATTTACAGTATTATTGTTCGACGCTGAAATTTCTAAATCTTTCAATACTGAAACAACTTTACAATTCCTTTCATGTTTGTATCAACTTTTCAGCACCTTTCTGTCATATTTACCTGAAAACACCATATTTTCCTAATTTTGCACAAACACGACAAATATTGACGCGTCTGAAATATATTTCAAGAACTCAATGAATTTCAGCAAGAGAAACAAACAATTTTAAATCTTTCAACAAGTTGAAAATTGTTACAAATTTCGTTGAAGCTAATTCAATTTGTTTTTGCATTGACCACTCAATTTCACTAAACAAAAACCGTCTCATTATCCGAAATTAATTGGAAATTTCCCAATATTTCCCCTTTTTGTGATCCTCTCAAACTATTGGATTTAGTCCACCGAATGATAAATCACCAAAAAGAGTGATTATTCGAAATTGGAAAAAACATTTGTAATCACCCAAAAGTATTCTCTGTTGAAAATAAATCGCGTGCGAAATAATCCTTCGCAAGGTTACTATTTGGAATGTTCCATGTTTAATTAGCTCGTCTATTTTTAGTCACGTGTAGATAATCCAAGTTCGAGACGTTTCAAAATCCACTACAGGGTGACCCTCGCAAAACAATTCCTCTTCATCGTGTTTCCCATTGGTGGGAATTGGACACGAAACTATTTCATTGTTTTATTCCCATCTCGCGATTTTTAAACTTGAACCCAACTGAAAAATTTTATTCAGAAGAGCCAAAACAGCGGCTTTCACACCAAAGAAAAAGTCAACTGAAACTCGCGAATAATTTACGCGAAAAGAATGAAGTTCTTTGAGTAGTCGAGACCTCAAAAATGAAACRCGAGGGCGACTTTCGCAATTCCACTTTGTCCATTATAAAACTCAAGCGCTGAAATAATCACCAATAAAACTTTTTTCTCATTTTTTTGAGTGAAGAAAAATTTTCACTCAAGAAATTATCCGGTCGTAGAAGCTGTTGCATCAAATTTCGTCCCCGGTAACAGTGAATATTTAGTAAATTTAGACAAAGTGTACCAATTACAAAAAATTTGAAAAAAATTCTAAAATCGAACTAAAAAATGTGTTTTATTGCTTTTTTGACATTTTGCTTTCCAACAATTGCTAAAATAGAGGTTTTTGTTACTAAATTTAACAAATATCAATATGAGAAGTCTAAATTTTACTACAAAATCTAGGTTTTTTCTAAAAAATTCTGTTTTTAAAATATAGCAACTTTCACGTTGCAATTCTTGTTTACTTAAATTTTCTCAAATTGTATTGCCCTGATTTTAATTTTTAACAAAGAAATTTACCACAAAATTGGGTTTTAATTATGTTTCGGCTGAAACGCATCCTGAGATTTTCAGATAATTTAAATAATTGGGAATAATCTATTAAAATTTAGCTTTCATATTACAGAGCCAAGAATGAGATTTTTTTATATCTACTTTTTAGTTTTTTGAAAAACAAATACTCTTTTTTTGAATTTTTTTTGATTCATTTAAAACACCAATTTCCACTTTGCTGTGGTTTTTTATTTTTATTGGTTAAATATTGAGAGCAATTTTTAGGTTTTTTCAATTAGTGGATTTTTTTTAAGAAATTTTTTATTTAATTGATCACTAACTTAGTTCGTAATTATGTCAAATATGGTCCTGCAATAACTAAAAAGTGTAAATTCTCAAATATTTTACTCTGTTTTTAAAAGTTTCATGAAAACATTTGTGTTTGTATTTTTTTTTAGATTTTCTTCGACTTGAATTCTGTGCTAAAAATAATTTTGAGAACGACTGACTTGAACCCTGAAGATGATAAAAAAACAAAACACGCATTTTTTACTATTAAAAAACATTCTGACGGAAAACTGTGTAAAAACACATTTTTGTTCGTTTTGTTCTTGAAAATTTATTACTGAAACAGTTTTTTGACGTTTTTCTAACGCGATTTTACGTTTGGTTTCATATTTTTGACTACTTTTGCGATTTTTGAAAATTCAGACAAATTGATTTTTTTCATTCACCAACAAAGTTACCAATTTTTAGAAAATCTTGATATTTTTAACTAAAATTTAAAAAATGAGGTGAAAGGTTACAAATGTTTGGCAAATCTAGAAAAATTTAGAGAAAGGTTATAAGAATACAAAAAATTTAAAAAAATCCAAAATCTTTAGAAAAATTTTTAGAAAATCTTGATATTTTTAACTAAAATTTAAAAAATGAGGTGAAAAGTTACAAATGTTTGGCAAATCTAGAAAAATTTAGAGAAAGGTTATAAGAATACAAAAAATTAAAAAAAATCCAAAATCTAAATGAAAAATTGTTTTATTACTTTTTTGACATTTTTTTTCCAATTTCTCAAGAAATTGAGATCAGTTTTCAGGTTTTTTTCCGGACTTTTTTGTGCAATTTGTTGTTATGTAGTTTGTCACTTCTTAGTTCATGTCTTTGAAAAAAACTAATTTTTTCGTTTTAAATTTTAAGCTAAAAATAATTTTAAGAACGACTGACTTGAACCCTGAAGATGACAAAAAAACAAAACACGCATTTTTTACTATTGTAAAACATTCTGACGCAAAACTGTGTAAAAACACATTTTGTTCGTTTTGTTCTTGAAAAAAATCATTACTGAAACAGTTTTTTCACTTTCTTCTAACGCGATTTTACGTTTGGTTTAATTTTTTGACTGTTTTTGCGATTTTTGAAAATTCAGACAAATTGATTTTTTCATTCACCAACGGAGTTACCAATTTTTAGAAAATTTTGATATTTTTAACAAAAATTTAAAAATGAGATGAAGGGTTACGAATGTTTGGAAAATCTAGAGAAATTTAAAGAAAGTTTACCAGAATACAAAAAATAAAAAAAAAATCCAAAATCGAAATGAAAAATTGTTTTATTAATTTTTTGACATTTTTTACCATTATTAGGAAGTGTTTTACTCATGAAAATTAAGAGCAATTTTCAGGTTATTTTGGACTTTTTTACGCAATTTGTTGTTATGTAGTTTGTCACTTCTTAGCTCATGTCTTTGAAAAAAACTAACATTCTTGATTTAAATTTTAAGCTAAAAATAATTTTGAAAACGATAAGTGTCTTAACTTCGAAAATAATACATTGTTACACAAATTCTTTCGTTTTCAACCTTCCAAAAAATCATTACTAAAATATTTTGTCTATTTTTGACATTTTTCGAAAATCTGGTTTCATGTTTTTTTTTTAATTAAAAAAGTTTTTGATTCAAAAATTTAAAAAAATACTTCAGTTGATAAATTTTAGCAACAGATTTACAAAATTACAAAAACAAATTTTTATAATTATTTTTGGTATTTTTTTTAATTTTTAATAATATCACATTATTCTTAGGAACAGCACAAGTTTATTTACGACACCCATGACGAATTTATGACTTGTGGCTTCTTTGTAAGAAAAAAAAAATATAAGTAATAAATATGCAAAAAAATCTATTGAAATCAGCAGAGAAAATATTTGTTTTTTTACAAAATAACCTAGAAATTAAGAAAATAACACAAAATTTTAAAAACAAACAACAAAATTAACTAATTAAATTTTTTACATAAATTCTTTGGTTACTAAAAAAATTACTAAAACTATTTTTCACATTTTTCGAAAA